TTGCTCCATTTTCTGAAAGTTTGTGTCTTTTTTTTTCTGTAGTAATAAATGTAATGTGCTCTAGAGATATAGTTAACCCTCTTGATTTCTTCCTTTTTCATCCCATTTTTCATTTTTTGCTCTCCTCCTTGGCTTAAAATAGCTTTACTTGAAAGTATACCATTGTGCAACTGATTATTATCAGTGTATGGAGGTACATTTGAGTTTGTGAAGACGGGGGAAATAAAACTCAGCAATCCTGTCACGTTAATTAGGAAAGTAGACCCTTGCCTTTCTGTAGCACACGTAGAAAACATTTAACATACTGAATATACAGCGGAGACTCACAAAAGGAGTGAAAATAACATGAGAAAACTCCGGTGTGAAGTTTTTGAGCACTGTAGCTCTCAAAGTTAAAACTATTCAGTCCTTAAACTGGATAATTTTAATGTTAGTATTCAAATTCAGAGTCGTCTTTTAAGGCTGTAGGCTTAAGACACTTGTTCACATTTAATCAAGCTAGAAATAGGCCTCACTTCCACCACATTCCAGACCTTTTTGTAAACCCGGAAGCTGAACATAATAAATAAATACTACTAACCCCCCATCCCTTTCATTTATTTAATCTCATCCATCAGCTGAACTGTTCCTGATGTTCTCTTGGCATCTTGACAGAGAAAAAAAAAAGCACAAAAAAAAATAAAAGAAAAGAAAGAAAGGCGGAAATAGAAAGGATATTAAGAGGTAAAGAACAAAATGCCAAAGAGCTTTTTCCGAAGAAACCATCTGTTCCAGTCACCACAAAATTGTCCAAGCATTGTGTTTTACTTAATGCCTAAGGGGAGGTTTTTTGCCAATATTTCCAAGCCAACTCACAGGCCCAAGAGCAATCAATAGATTGATAGCTGCAGCCTCTGGAGCAATGACTTGGCTAGTGGGATATATGTATGATCAATGAGGAACTCTGGGAGGTGCAAGTAGAGGTTTTGAGTGATTATGGTAATAGTGAAACCACCCAGAAGGTGTGACAAATAAACCATGAATATTGAAATACACCAAGACATAACTATATCTTTACTGAGAGAGACTGCCTCAGTGAGTATCTGCACATCGTCGGGAGAACTATAAAGTTGCTGATTTTGCAGACATTTCTTCCTTAGCTTGATAAGTTAATATATATTGTTTAACATGGTAATGTAGCAAGCTGTTGTTTTGTGGTTTGAAAGCCAGCTGCATTTGATTGATGCCAGGAATGGAAGTATTTATAAAATGACACTGAATTAGAAGTAGTCAGTTTATGGGTCTGGGGAAATGAATCTTTTATGAAGAATAAAACTTTATGATGAAGGAGTAATACTGAGGAAGCATGCATCTTGAATTAAACTCTTTTGGATCGGATGTATGCTGTAGAACCTTTTAAAATAAAAGTTTGTGTCACTATATTTTTAGGAAAGAGATCTCTGTAAATGTCATCTTTTGTGGTGGTCCAATCCCAAATGTATGGTCGTGTATGTTCTCTCTGTGAACACATCAACTAGGATAGGAAAGTTCTTCCCTGGAAATATAGTTATTGGACTTCTCCAAAAGGTCACTGGAATATATTTTAGCTGCTGGTTTAAAGTTGTTGTGATTTTTGAGGCATCAGCCACAAATACTAGCCCATTCTAGCTTTTTGTATATGTGGGCTTTTTGTTTGTTTTGTTTTAATGGAATAGAATATAGAGTAGGTACCACTGTGCTTTGAAATGAATGGACAGCACTGGACTGTGGTTAGTTTGCAAACCTACTTGTGAGCACAAGAGCGTAAAGGTTGTGTTTCTTAGGACAAGCCATTCTCAGCATGGCTGCAGAAGCCTAGCACCAACTTTCAACTCAGTGCAAGGGCTTCCTTTTTGTTTTCACCTGCAGTATTCAGCAGCTCCTCTGGTGTTTGTAGCGATGCAAGCGTATAGGTGATGTTTAAAGGGGTGTAGTTTTCCGTATTGATGTTCATGAACAGAAAACAGGTACAACCTTATAGACTGTACTAATGCATAATGACATCTAAAGACCAAATTTTATGTGCATTTTTACATCTGTTATATGAACTTGTGAGAATACAATAACTTAAATGTAAATGCCACTTTAATGGTAGCTAGAAACCAATATCTCAAAACTTTTGACAAAAGTAACATAGAAACAAATGGATCTAATTCTCTACAGCTTTCTTCCTGGAGCTAGGATCTCTATGCAAAATGAATGTAAAATTCTGCTCTTCTGAGTTGTTGGAATTTCTCATCTCTGTGCTCCAAAGGAATGGTTGCACAGAACAAGATAATGTTCTTTTTTTAAAACAAACAAGATAATGTCCAGTGAGTTGAAAGGTTAAAGAACTGCAGCTGGCAAATCAGAATCAGATTCAGCCATGGTATTGAGCCAGTTTTATGCCAGAGTAACCTGAGATTTGGGGATGTACATCAGATCTTAAAATCTACATGTGCCTTCCATAGTCTTATCATCAGAAATATTTCAACAGAACTGTCTAGGACAACTGTATGAATAGGATTTCTACCTGAGTATATATTTTAATCAGTTTTTAAATCTCTGCTGAGCATCAACTCATCTAATAGATTAATAATGGCAGCAACTGTATGCTCATTTAAAATATAGTCTAATGTACTTGAGTATAGCATCTTATTAAATTACGTTTTTCAGGAAAGAGTTGAGTACCGAAACCCATTGAATTTCACTTGTACTTGGGCACTCTTTAAGATCCCTTGAAGATTTGCCTTAATTCTTATTTATTTCACTGAAGTCTTGTGACTTGGGAGATCTTCATGAAACACATTATCTAATAAATAATCTTCTTGAAATGCAATAAATATCTAAAAAATAGCATAGTGTTGTACTTGTGAAAAGAGAGTAAATCTTCATTCTTCAAAACAGCTGCTCTTTTTTCTTTTTTCTTCTGAAGAAGTCTCAAAAAAAGGAGGTGAAAATATCAGGGCTAGGATCATCTTGTAATATTGGAAAGCATGGCATGGTATCCAGTGGTAAGCTTCTTTTTGAGCTGTCTGACCTTTAATCACTGGTGAATAAAACCAACATGCTGTCAGATCTCTGTTGTATTTCTCAAGGGGGTAACTCTGCCTGAAGTAGCAAAGAAACAAAACCTTTGAGAGCTTATATTCAAGGTCACTACAAGAGGCAATACTTTGTACTCTGGGAAGTACAGTAAAAGAAAAAAAAAGAAACATATCTAAACAAGCCAGTTGTGTTTGTTTAACAGTGAACCAGGCAGTTATGTCAGGCTAGAAATGAAGCTGGATTTGTTTTTACTTTAACCACAGTATTTCATTTTTATTTGAGTTTTAAGTGATCTGTGCTTCAAGACCTTCACAAAGAATATAAACTCACTGTTTATCATTGTACATGAATGATATATATTTCTGTTCTGCAGGCACTTCCAATGTAATGTCTTAGGCCTTGTCTGTACCAGAAGGTTTTAATCGCTTGTGGTTATTTTGTCACAAAAGACTATGTGGATACTGAGAACAGATCATATGATCTTACAGACCTGTTAAGAAATGAAAATGTTTTATTTGAAATGTTTTTCATCATCATATTTCAAAATAATACTTGCCTACTGAAAGTCTATGGGCGAAAAGAAAGGGTTAGCCACCACGTAGGAATTAATCTCTAACAAAGAATTATAACTATCTTTGATGTTGTGGTTCACACATTAGATAATGTGGTTTCAGTGCTAAGCTACTTAAATGTAAATTGTATAGTTGATGGAATTTCATAAATTGTTTTAGTTGGGATTTTTAGGCAAAAGAATGGATATCTTCCTATATTCCTTATTTGTATAAAGTTTGCTAATATCTTTTGCATTAATTGGTTACTTAACTTTGATTCCCCATTGAAACTAGTTTATTGATTTGATCGTGACTTTTTTGTTATTTGGTAGGATTTTATTCTTTATTCAGGTCAATATTACCAGAAATACTTTAGTTTTGCTGTGATGATATATTACTTTTAGTTAGATTTTTTTTTTTTAAACAATGCTTACATTCATACCTTATAAATGAACTGATTAAGAAATAGTAATGGTCTAGGGCTGAATATCTCACGGTTCAGCCCAGGTGTCTAATTGCTTCCTTTCTTTGGTTCTCAATGTGCTGTACAAAGCAAATAAAAGAATGCTATGACAGAATTTTGTAGGCTATGTCACCCTCTGGTGTGCCTGTTTAAGGGAGAGGAAAAGATTTGATCCTGTGATGGACGAGTATGTGTTCCACTAGCTAAATAGAGAATTGGCAGCATCTCAGTCCTCCCTGTATTAACTGTGATGTAGAAAGAGAGTGAGGTTTTTCCTCTGTACATCATTTAGGAATCTGTGCAGTCAACAGTATTTACCTTATTGCACTCTGTAGCAGAACTGTATGCTATAGGATTTTCATGTTAAAAAAACCTTCACCACTCGAAGGATAACCTGGCAATAAAAGTGGGGTCTTTTTTATTGAGGCTGATACAATAAGCCCATAAATTTGTACAAATTGAGATTAGAATAAAGTAGGCTTTAATCATTACAAAAATTCTTATTGACAGAAATTATAATGTCCAACCAATTCTGAAACTGTGCAAGACTTTAAAATAGAGACCTTTCTCTTATTTCAGCATTGTCATCTTCATCATAAATACCCTGTAAACTTTCTACCTGTAGAATTTAAAGTGAAAAAGATATATCTGTAGCTCAATTAGTGAAATGCAATTAATATGGATGGCAACAAAGCACACAAATATGGGGAACTTACGTTAGAGTCATATGTCTGTTGCAAATCAGAAACACTAGTCTTGTTGTTGGCTCAGTAGCAAGTAAAAATAATACAAATACAAGTACAGACTAAATATCAGGTAAAACTACTTAGTGGTCTTGAGATAATTATGTTTTGTACCCACCTGGTTCTCACATATCAAGGCAGCGTAATTTTACATGTTCTTGCTAACCGCATTCTGTTGTCTGTCCACCTTTCCCTTAGGAACGACTGTGATGCGTATGACAGCATTTGATGCTGATGACTCTAGCACAGATAATGCTCTTCTGCGGTATAACATCCTCAAACAGACACCTATGAAACCATCTCCAAATATGTTCTATATTGACCCAGAAAAGGGAGATATTGTTACAGTGGTGTCACCTGTACTGTTGGATCGTGAGGTAAGTGAACATTTTCCTATTGCCAGTCTGACATTTTAATGTTTGTGCCTATAATCTTCTGTGATGTGAAAAGAGGTTCAGAGTATTGCGGGGGTGGGATTCAGACGTTCAGCTTTGAGGAGTCTTTTAAGAGTTCTGTTTATTTCTTACTTGGGCATAAGAAGTTATATGCTCTGATCAATATTTATAAATCTAGTAGTTCATAATTTCTGGGCAAGACATTTAATGTTGTATGGTGAGAGCAAAGATCTCGGGAACAAGTGGAATTCAACTCTGAGTTACCAATTGACTGTTTGGAAGTAAAACAAACAAAAAAACCCCTAATTATGCATATAGCTTGCTATGAGATTGTTACAGTTTGGTGCTTTAAATCCTTTTCTAGAATTTTCTTTTTATTGAGTGGACTTAATGGACTAATTAACTTGGTACCCCATAGCCAAAAAATGAAAATACAAAAAAGGAAGAGTAAAGGGACAGGTAGTCTGCATGTGGTTTTAAGGTGAATTACCATAGTGCCAAAATCCATGTTTATTATAGATCATTAACATTATGAGAGCATAAATTGATAGCAAAGAAAGCTTAGGTATGATCATTTCATGTTCAGAAGATAATAAAGTAGAGCCAATCTGTTAGGACAAAGGTTTAGTTATCAGAATATGAGAGATCTGGGCACCAATACAATGATGACCTACACAGTTACTCTATGAATCACCATTTCCTTCGATTACGTAGCCCTGTGTGCTCTTAGATTCCTGGAGAAAACCAAGTTCTTTTCTTGCAGGCTGTTTCAGGTATGTGCTGATTTACTGAACTTGTCTTCTAAGTTGGTTAGATTCAGGACTGTCCAATGTTCTCAATGTTCAGCACGTTATTTCTCATTTTAACCAGATGAAAATGATGCCCATACCACTTCCCATTTTAGGTGAGTAGTTTTTCTGCAGGCTTTTCCAACAGCAGATATTTAATGGGTAAACCAGACACACAGTGCAGTAAAACTAAGGTCTGGGCCTGTAGATCTGTCTTTTAAGTTTAGAGAGATTCCAATTCTTTCATGCTTGTGTGGCTGGCCACAGAATCACGCCCATGTTAAGATTTATATAATCACTACCTTTTTGCCTCAAGTTTCTCTTCTAAATTCATTGTTTCAGTTCAAAAGCTTTATACTGTTTTCTAAAGTCAGATTAGGTATTTTTATTCCTAATAGATAACCATTTCCCAGATTAAACCATTTTACTCAAAATTAGAAAATCAATGGAAGGGAATGAACATGCCTGCTTTTCCTAGTATCTTCCAAAGGTCACTGGTGATTCATGAAATAATGATGCTGTCTCCATACAAGAAGTCTGGCCTCAATCGAACGGGTATTACGGCTGGGCAGTATATCCTGAAAGCAAGACCTGAATTCCTCATGATTTTTAATAATAGTCGATTCAATACCTTTACTTTGAAGGTGACATGGCAAGCTGCAGTCTTGTTGAAACGGCAAAGTAATTTTTGTTGTTGCTGCAAATGCTGTATGTTTTATGAGCCAAAATGTAGGGCTGTGTAAAATTTTAACACTAAAAACAAGCATTATCTGCAGTTAAAGTCCAGGCTAATGTTGTCTTGTCAGGTGAAACACTTGGAGAAAACGTATGTTTTCCATTTCTTCACAAGATGCTCTCTGTTGTGCTCTGTCATCTTTGTGGGTTCAGCCTCTTCTCCCCCTTCCTGCTTATGTATGTCTTGTGTAGAAACTGGTAGTCATGCCTCCTTTTTTAGATCTGTGGAGTTAGCCATTCATGGTCAAAGATGTATACTTCTATTTTTAACCGTAATAGAAGCTTTTAGGGACAAGCGGCTTGATGTTCCTATTCTGAACAATTCTGGATACCAACATAATCTTGATACTATATAAATAACTCTGATGTATTTCTACGTAACTCATGAAATTGAATTATTGTAAAAGAATTGTCTGCCCCAGGTAGAGAGAGACAGGAGTAACATCTGGAGGAGGAAATACCTGTCTAGCTACTGCTTAGGGAATAAAGTATCTGCATATCACCAGGCTTGAAGAAGTGACCTTCAGGATGTTGGCAAGTTGGTGGGCAGGAGGGAGTACTATTTGCCATTCCTCTGTAGGATATCAGCTGATATTAGTGCCTTACTGTTGTTATATTTTCTCTGGTGAACCTTTGTAGATCTTAAATGTTTTGGATATTTAGCACAGTCTTCTATGAAGTGCATTGTAGAAACATGGGACAAAGAAACGAGCTTTCCCCTGAAAGCCTTGCTAGTAGTTGTGTAACATCAGAGGACAAAAAATGTAGGTAGAGGCATTGAATGATGGTTGGACAAAGACCGCGTGAAACAGGAGAGAGAATGCTTTTACCTCCTCAGTTCTTACCCTTCTTTTGTTGGCATCTCAGTGGAGAATGTATTATAGTAGACATGCATCGGGAACAGCAAGCTTTTTTGTTAATGCTTTCCATTGCTTGGAAAAGAGAATGGATGTTGAACAACTCAGCTGATCCTTTTTGATGACTGGGATTTGAGTCAGCAGTGTTTGCAGGCAACTGGATGTAGCTCATGAAGGTACACGTGGTATTTATATTGGGGGGTGGGGGAGGTGTGCGTTTCTGCTGGGGAATTCCACAGCTCCAGAAACTGCAAAAATTGGTCCTGGTGAATCTGATTATTCATGACTGCCAATTCAAACCAGCAGCTTCTCCCAGATTTTACTTAAACTTTAAATTGGGTCAATTGCCTGTGATTTTTCTGTATTTTGCTAGCTCTATTTATTTTCTATTTGAATCTTAAAAGTGAGTACCAATCAAAAGTAGATTATTTGTAGTTGTTCCTTGTAAGTGTACTGTTTAAAACTGTATTAGCCCTAGGCACCAATTAAGAAGCTGAATTAAAGTAAAAATTTCTCTAGGATGGACATGGAGAAGGGAGGAAACTATTAATCATATATATATGCACCAGAGGTTGATATGAACTCTTTTAAAACATGTTAAAGCACTGACTAAAATTACTCATATTTTCCACCTCTTTTAGTAAGTTTTACAACTGCTTGGATCTTGACGCTTTTGGGAAACTTTCAATTTAATTTAAGACAAATTAACGGAATATAAATTGTTTGGGATTTTGTTTTGGTTTTGGTCTTTTTTTTAATTTTAAGTATCATTTATTTCATGTTTGTGTATTAGAGGGAACAGGAGACTGGGGGTATTGCACATACTCTACAGTCCATATTATTTTTCCGTGCTTCAATATTTTCAAAAAAGTTGCAATGGCATAGCCTCAGAAATTCTTGTTTCAGTGCAAAGCATCAAAATACAGGTATTTACCCTAAAGTAAAATAAAGTTTGGCCATCTAGAGAGCTCAAGTTTTATATCCAATTGAATATATGTGGGAGAATCTTAGCATGCATAAGTAAACATCTAGGTTAATAATTTTAAGGAGATGAAAATCAAATCAAACATTTTTTTCTGGTAATACTTTAGAATTAAAAGTAAATTCTAAGTAGACACTTTTAAAATAAAACAAAATTTAAAAGAAAGGAAACAGGAAATAATTAACTTGTTTCTGGTGAACCTCAACTGTGCATCTGCTTGTTCTTTTAGCTACACAGGATCAGCTCAAAATGAAGACAATTTTGGTAAATTCCTACAAGCCTTCAAAATTTCTTTTTCTGTGTCTGGCATTTATTAGGTCTCTTGCTAAAATGAGAGTATGGAGATGGGAATGCTCCCTGGTGTGTTAAGTGACCTCTTCTTCAAAGGCTATTCCAAAGCTCTTCTGTGCATAAGGCAGCAGAGGGAATATGTAATGTGAAAGGCATCACTCTCTCTTTAGGGTTATTTTCTTGTACTATCTAGAAACTGAAAGGTCATCTTAGGTCTTTTCTTCGAGTTGCCTGGCTGCTTTCGGATCCCCAACCTAGCTATTTTATTTTTTTAACTTTGGAAGTAATTGAATGGGTGTTTGATTTAGCACGGATGGGTGACAGTGTGCGCTTTGGAGCTATTTCCATATTATAGTATCACCTACAAAAGTATTAAGCAAAACAGTCATTCTCTCCAGTATGCAGAAAAAGTGTATGTAGGAGTCCCACAGATTACATCCAGCAAGCTGCTGAGTGCTTTTGATTTCTGCTGACATCTGCTGAGGGAAGCTGAGTGCTTCCTGCCTCCGAGGAAAGACTTAGCACCATGCAGGATTTGTATGGCCTGAATCTACCAGCTTATTTTTATTTATAAATTTTTCAGATTCAAAATTGTTTCTGAAAGTGCATGATCCTCAGGGCTTGCAGCAAAACTCAAATAATTTCTCAAAGAACATCCATTTTCATTTTCAGAAGGCAGGTAAGGACGTATTTTTGAAGATTAATGTGGGTTTTTTTCTTGTGGGAGTTAGGCATCCTTGAATGTGTCAGCAATAAAGATTGAAGAGTGTTAGGGGGCAAATTATACCTCCAGATATCCATTGGAGAACACATTTTGATTCATAAATTCAGAGAAGAAGGATGGCCTCCATCAAAGTGTATGGTCTAAATGACCCAAAATAGAGCACAACAGGAAAAAGAAAAAAAAAAAAAAAGGAAAAAAAAAAGGGGGGGGGAAGAAGAAGAAAAAAAGAGGAAAGAAACCTTGAGGAAATGTCCTGAATTTTGTATTTCAGGGATGGAGAGTCCATTTCGAAGTGACACTTCCCTGCAGTGAAAGAAAAATAATGCTTTTCATGTGCATAGGAGGAGAAAACGCTTGTACTCTTGTAGAATCAACTCTTAAATTTCCTTTATGGATCAGTAATCAGTTTTTCTGCTTACTCACAGTGCTATTTTGCCAGTGTTACAGACCCCTCTGCTCTGCAGGAAAGTAGCTGTATGATTTGTATAAATTTTATGTGACTAAAGCACAATAAGAAAGCTGCCACCACAGTTGCTTAAGTGAAATATTTACTTTACTTCTCACAGTTTGAGGAGTAATATGCTTTTGCTTTTGATAGGAACTGC